AATCGGATGATCTTGGATGGTGATCGGTGATCGGTGGTACACTCTTCGGCGCAGAGAGCTGAAAACCAACCGCAAGCGCCCACCTGCTGACGGCGGAGACTGCTGCGTGAGCTATGTTTCTGGTCCGCGTAGTCGTTCGTCCCGTTAGGACGATGAGTATGTCGTCGGCATAAACGATTACGTGCACGTTCTTGGGCAATCGGCTGAAAATCCCCGAAAAAAAATTTGCTAAGAAATTTCATTAAAATTCTATAGAAATTTATTTCGTGATGTACTTTTCACAGATCCTGGGATAATCACAAACGGCTTGGAATTTTCCACAGAGTTACTTAGAAATCTGAACTCACGCGTTTTCATTGTCTCCCGGGAGGCCAATTCACCGTGTTCGGATGTCACGCTTTCGGCGTATAGTTCTATAGAGAGTCTCGTCACCGTGTGCGAGTATGAACACGGTTCGGTTGGCAAATTAGCCGGGGAAAGTGCTGATAATATATCCGTCGCGAGTTTTGGTGGTGATTCGGTGGCCGACGTTGCCGTGAATCAGCAAGTTTACGGCTTGCAAAAGTGCTCGTCTGATGGTCTCTCGCCAGTGTCGGAGATTATGAGCAATCTGAAGAATGCCTCGCTGGAGGCCGCTGGCGGTAGCTGGAGGCCGTGAACGGTTCCTGGGGAAAGCACTAGACGCGAGCCTCCTCCCAGATGACCAGATGGCAATGCAAGAAAATTTGTTTTCGTTGAAGGAAGTACTACAACAAAGGTAATTGCTATTAGATATTTTTGCAAACAGTGACAGATGGCAGACATGAAGCTCAAGTGGAGGTGCCGGGCAAAGGTGTTCTATCCTAGACAAATGGTAAGTTACACATTTAAATTAATCATCAGTCGCTGAAACTATATGAATTATCGCGTATCTCTGTTGTTCATTACATACCAAGTGAAAACTTAGCCATCGTTGGGTTCCGAGAGCATAAAGTGCAGTTAACAACCAATAGTTGTATTGTTCAAACCATGAGTTTCGGAAAGGGTTTATGCGTGATCAAGTTTGGAAGACATTGTTGGCTGCTTTCAGAGAAGTCGCTTCATTTGAATAGCTTGTTGTTAAGTCGGTCATAGCTTGTGGTAATTTAAGCGGCACGGTGGCTCTTTTTGCTTTATGAGTAGAAGATCAAGGGTTAAAACCCAAGTCTCATTACCAGTGTTGAGAAAATATCAAAAAATCAAATCTCACCAACGCCCAAGATCACGCTTGATTTTCGTAGATAAAAATCCACAAGCAAACAACTGCGGTTGATTTTGCAAACTGTGATATCGCAGCTCGGAATATCAAGCTAACAAAACTCACCAACTGCAAATCTCACCAAACTGTGGTGAGATTGAGTTTAATGATTTTTGCTTTACACCCGAATGCAACTGAAACTTCCATAACGGCTTGCAGCAGTCCCTTCACATCTGCCATCGGTGAAGATTAAAAAGAGATAGCAAACTATGCTTTCTCTTTCTAAGAAAACGATGTGCAATGGAATCATTTTTGTGTCTGAGAGTTGACTCAGCTTGATTTTTGCACGTTGTGAATAGTCTCGCAATATCAAAGGAGCTTTTAAAATCAATATCAGGGATGATATTTTGTTCCAATATCATGCGTGATTTTGCGAGCGCATGAGAGCGGAAAAATATCAATTGATTTCTGATTTTGCCAACACTGCTCATTACATTAGGTCAATATTGTTAAAAATTGTTAAAAACAGCAATTGGAGGAACGATTCAGAAAAGTAATAAGTATATTTGGACCAATTTGACGTACGTCTGATCCGGTTCGGAAGATATTGTTAACTACTTTGAAGGATTTCATTTAATTGTAATAGCTTCTTGTAACCGATAATGAACGATCGTCGTCGGTCGTAGCTTGTTGTGATGTAAGGGACACGGTGGCCTTAGAGCGACCGTTTTTGCTTACTGAGTAGAAGATCGCGGGTTTGAACCCAAGCTCCTTTACATAACTGAGTTGATAGGGACGCGTTATTTGCTTAACAGGCTTTAAAAGATCGCATCACTTTCCAATGTGAATCCAGATCTAACTTACCCTTCCCACTAACAAAAACATTCTTCCGGTGACAACCGTGGAGATGCAGAGGTATACTCGTTCTCTAGTAACAACGGTTGTTGAAATAACAATCCTTTCGATCCCGATGACCGTAAGGACGTGGCCGGCGCCGTTATTGACCTCCGGATTTTGTACACTGAGAATGGATTGCTAGTCCCAAGCCTCGTTCATATGGTTCTTTGTGCAAATTTCGCTAAATCTGATCAATCACGGAGTAGCTACTATCAATGCTCATGCTCATGCTCTCATGCTCTAAATCTGAACTCACGCAAGTGACTAGCAGTGAAAGTCTAAAATCTCTAAAAGTTCTTTCTAAAAGTCCCGCTAGTTTTCTGATATTCATTCTAAAATCTATAGTCTTCTCAAAATTCCTTCGAAACAAAAAAATCTAGTCTGGTCCAAGAATTTTTTTTCGCACGGCGCTTATAAATTGTCAAGTTTAAGCAGAATAATGCGTAAACAAGAGGTACTCGATTATGAAGAATGGGTTAGGGAAAATGTTTTTGTCACGAATACAGTGATAAAATTATATCGTTTTACTTGTACATTTTTCAAAAACTTTCAATGGAAAATTGGACACAAGTATTTAGATTCATACAGCTATTTCCTATCGAATGGTGTATTTGGATTTCAATTTCATCCATAGATGACAAAGTTACAAGTGTTCAAAACCTAACACCTTTTGTGACGGTCGCAAGTTTAGATTTTTGATTTACCCCTTGTACCTTCCCGTAAAGCGTAGCCCACCTAAAAAATAACATTAGTGACTAACATTTAAAAAATAGTGACGTTAGGGACTTTTTAGTGAAAAATTTTGTGACTGACTTGAAAATAGTGCCCTGCTACCAACCCTGTAATTTGATGCCACAGGGATAACAGATCAACAGGCTAAAAGCAGATGCAAACATACTGAAACAGTCTTTTATCCACGGGGCTAACTTTGATTTGCCAATACGCCTTTTTAATATAATAGAAGAACGAGAAAAAGAGCGTTGCTATCAGTGATGCCAATGGTGTAGTTCAAACTGTAATTTCCAGTTTTTTACGCATCCAGTCCAACAGTTAAAGCTTCAAAACTTCCAGTTTATGAGAAGTCATACAGTTTTATCCAGTTTTCCATTATTACTAGAAATCTTTGGATCATGATCAATAAGTGGATACTTTAAGATTTTAATTTTAATTCAATCTGGAAGTGCAATATTTGTGTTAAAAACGCTTTATGTCAAAGGGCTAACTTATTTTAGTCATCTACTTTTAACAAAATTAACCCTAAAAAATTGCCAAATTTTTATTAATAATAGCGTTAAATTACAGACAAACAGACGTAACTCTTTGCATATATTATTTTGAAAAATATCGTCACGGAGCTCCTTAACGACATCTTGCGAGCAATTCGCCGAAAAAAAAAGCTTGCTTGCCAAGTCTGTAACAATGGTGCACACAAGTTTGGTAGAATATATAGAAACGGCATAGTAGTTCGATGGTGGGGGATTCACGAAACTAATCATATTGAAATTGAACGCCAAATGCGTGTTCGACGATTGAGGAGAAAGAGTTAAGTCTGTTTGTCTTTGGTAAAATATTCCACAAATATGTTTTTACACGATTCATACGATAAGTAAGAAACGCTTCAATTACATTATTTAGTTGACCTTCTTTCTTCAGAACCATTAGAACTGCTAATTCACATATTACTTTCAAATTGATCAAAATTGTCCTCAAAGTAAACATTCAGGTGCAACTTACTAAATATTCCTTAAATTTTTTGAAAGTTTCTTTTGCAAATTTGAAATATTGATCAGTAATAAATTTTACCTGGGCCCCCAAGTCTAGATACTTGAATGAGCCAAATTCTCTCTAATATTTAGACAAACAAAAATATTTAATTCATAGTTGACCTTCAAATCAAACTCACCGATAAAACTATCGTAATTTGAAAAGCTCAACCGTGACGCCACAAAACTCTTTCGCACCTCAGCCACCAACCCACCCAACTGCTGAAGGAAACTCTCAACCCGCCAAGGTCGTTCACGGTAGCTGCCCATTTGATTGCACCTTATAGTGGACCTTCCTTTCCATAACGACCTGTTGGTTCAGGCAGGTAGGCCACCATCACTACATTATTGCCATCATGGTGAATGAACCCACGCTGGGAAAACTCACCGAGTGGAACCCCCTCCCAGGCACCTTGTCCGTGTGTCTTTGCATTTCCTCAATCACTGAAAATTTGATCATTTCAGCCGCTGCCGAAGCGCAGCGCTGCGAAAAAGATATGATTACAAAGTTTTCCTTTTCCCCTTGCCGTCTTATCTTCGATCTGGTCGTCGTCGTCGTCGTTGCGATTGTCGAAAGCGCCGCCCTACCGTGAAATTGCGCCATCATCGTAACTACCTTCTACTGCTAACAGTAGTGTGTAAATCGTAAATTTGGGCACCTGAATCACGCTCGCTGGCACTGCTGGGTACTTCGGTGGAGGTTCCATTGGCGATGACACAAAACCGGTAACTCCTACTGGGCTGAAGTTTTCCCATAAATGAAAATTTTGTATGGTGTGGTTCTTGAAAGACTAATTCACGCATCGATGAGTTTGAATCAAAACAGAATTGGAGCGGTATGATTATAGATGATGAGGAGGGTCAAAATGTTTCGATTTCCGTCTCTGTTCCGAGCTTCCTTTTTTTTCAACGAAGATAGAACCTCATGGTTGAGATTTGCAAAGAAGCAATTGTGGATCCATGAATACGGGACGAAAATTATAATAATTTCGACCCCTCTCTTAACTTAATGATTCATTTTTAAAATAATATATTCGCAACGATGAATAACCACCTTCATTGGAACTTCTACAAATTCACCCCCCTAGGATAATGATAGTATTGAAAATGGATTCGGTACTCACCCTTCATTCTGCCGCCGACGCCGTGCCACAGCCGGATTCTTCAGGATCGAGTCCACGTTGCCACGGGCACTGGCCGAGGACGGATGCTCTCCATCGCTGGTGGCACCACTCGACGCGACGAGATCACTTTTCTTCAACGGTACAAACGAACTGGGAGGCACCGGGGGAAACAAGGCCACGCCACCGGGCGGAACATAACCACTACCACCACCACCACCACCCGTCGACGCGGCCGTATTCGACACGTTACGGAGCATTTTCGCGAGATTCATACCGGGCGCGACACCGTCCTCTTCATCGGACTCGGACGAGGAACCGACGGCCGCCGACGCGTCACATTCGATGTTCGAAACGGTTGTAGACTTTTTCAGATTGCTCACCGACGAGTGGGTGGATTTGCGAAGTCGCGATTTCAGTTCGGAGTTGAGATCAGCCGGAAAGAGCCCGATGCCACCGGATTTCGACTTGAGGATGCCTTTCTTCAGCTCCGACACGAACGGGAGCGGTTGCTGATTCGAGGGCGGCAGATAGGCAAAAGGAGGCTTGCGAGGGCTGGTTACTTGATCTGGAATGAAAGCGTGAGGTTATGGGAAAGGAGACAAAGAGAAAAATTAGAGCTGCGATAAAAAAAAAAATACATAAAACTTAAGCAACACACGTGAACGGATAAGCAAACGACTAAAACAATTATGCTCACTGAAAAAAAAAATTACTTTTCAAGCTAATTAACAAAACAAACATACAAATCGCAAGCGTTACAATCGAAATTAGAAGCATTTGAACGTGTAAAAGTGGTGAAATGACGCGCACACCGATGAATGAGTTTTCATCAAAATCTGTAATCCAAACATATTAGATATTTTTGCACTAATCACTGATTGTAGTTTAATGATTGTTCCCAAAAACAAACCCATCACCATTCGATTCAATCAGAGGAAACCTGCGTTAGACCCAATTACCGTATTTCTACAGAAGTATGTTGCTGTAAAGTTACTTGCAACCGATTGTGCAACAGAGTGACCATGCTGCACAAACGCCAATGCAACTTCACAGCGACACGCTCGCTTATTATCACCCCGAAACCAGGAGAAACTCGTTAAGAGAAAGATGACTGAGGAACGTACCGTCAGAGAAGTAAAAATAGAATCGGGAAATCGTCTACGGCTGTAGTTGTGGTTTGATTTGATGGTTCATATTTTCGTCAGTCAATGTAAAAAAAAAAAAACGGATAAAGTCCTATCGTCCAGTGGAGTGTAGAGTTCGTAGTTGTCAGCTGCAGGCCTCTATCGGGACACACGGTGTGGCGACTGCGATTACGGCGTGCGGTTCTAAAGCTAAAGTACTCAATCTTACTAGGCAAAAAACGCCAGTCTTTTTTTCTAATAGGGATAACAAAACTAGGGTTCTAAATATTGCATTCAAAGTTAATCTACAATAGAGAAAGAAACGAGAAAAGAAGGGAAGAAAATGAAACAGAGAAAACGATCATTATTGGATTTCGGCGGATGGATCGGCAGCGGAACACGGTGAAGGGGGATATCTCTGCTGGTGGAATTTATACCTTTTCCGGGAAGCTGTATTACGTGTTGAAATTTTGAAAAATTAAGCAGAACGTTGTGGATTCAAATCCTTCACCTTGAAAGGAGTTGGAATGTAACTACGTGAAAGTATAGCAATTCGAATACGTCCATCGTCGATACCAATTCGCATGTTTCAGCCAGTTGGTCACTTATTGTCCTATCACCAACTTATGCGAGTTGTTTTTCCAGAATGAGTGGCAAGTACGGATCCAAAATACTGCAAGTATATCGATGTTGTTTCTATGATGTAGACACTCAAACAAGTAGCTCTCAAATCTGTACTAGCAAATGCTTTTCTAATGTCTGGATTTAGTTTTTAAATGGTATGTTTAAATTTTCAGTTCTGAGGTGAAGTTGATACTGCAGGTATTTATGCAATGCAAAATATAGAAGCTAGCATTTAAACTTGATTTGTGTTGGCTGAAGAAGAAACTTGTTTTAAAATATCAACAAAAGTTGTTGTTTACCAATAAGAAACTGCATATTTTGTGGAAAATAGTTTTTAAAATACGCCTAAATGTAGGCAATCATTTTTATGATACTAATTCGTTATAACGAAATCCGATTTCACATTTGGATTCAGCGATCCAAAATTAAATAGAATAAGCAATTTTGTCGAAAACTGCACCAGAATATATACTAATTCTGATAGGATTTTTAGGAACAGCTAAAAGTTACACATTTTATTGTTTCCACGAATTGTACATTTATGGCGGTAAGCTCCAACGAGGATAATACGCGATTTAACCCAGATTTTCTAAAACATAGATTATATAGCTAGATACACCATTCGGTAAGCACCAAGAGAGGATACAACTTAGAAGGAACGCAGCCATTCTCTCTCGCATAGTAAAGAATGTCAAGGTGTGAGTATATTCAGTCATGCAGGCGGAATAAGAGTACTAGACCAACAATTGAAATAGGCGGTACAACCAAAAGTAACGCAAATTCTCGAAAATCAAAACATACCTACGCAAACTAACAATGCCATTTGATAAAGGAAGATGCCGATGTGAGATTGCGTGAATGTCTTTTGATTTTCGAGAAATTTGCGTTTAAAGCCATTTCTTACGTTTGGTTCTTCCGCCTATTTCAATTGTTGGTCTAGAATATTCTGCTCATTGCTGCTTTAGGTTGAAAGCCGTCTTCGAATACCTACTTCTATCATCTTCAACGAAGCCAGTTTAATTTGATGAAAAACATACCCAATGCATCCCAGGACGATGATGGAAATTGGTGACGAAAGGGAAGGCGTGATTAACTTTGATCCTGCCGATGTGTTTTCGGTTGCTGGGTGAAGTCCCAAGTAACCAAAAGTTCTGCTAAAGGGCTATTTGTGGCTTAAGCAGCTTGGTTGAAGGTGGTCTGTAGAATTCTAAGCAGCCTCATTTTCAAGTCGTTAAAAGAACTTGAAAGTTCCGGTACCATAATTGAAGAGCATTCTAAGCAGCTTCTGGCGGAACTTGAACGGAACTTTTAGAAAATAAGTTAAAAACCAGTTTTTGTTCTCTACACCAATTCTATATTTAGTTCGCACTTACATGAAAGTTAATTCTATAGTCAGGTGTTCATGAAAGTTAATTCTATAGTCAGGTACGAACGTATATTGATTTATCAGCATTAGTAGTAGTATTGGAGCTGTTTGAATAATTAAACTCAGTCCTTCGGCGTGAGAGCCCAAGCATGAACCGCTACGTCATCTGAAATATATTAAAGTGAGCTGTTGTCCCGCCTACTGTTGGAGTTTTCAGAGCCAGCTGACTGACTTGAATACGAAACACAACACGAGGGGGCGACACATCTAAATCTCAATTCTAGATGCTCAACAAATCTCACACTAGCGAATCAAACTTCGAAAAATCTTCTTTGATTTCTCGCATCTACTTGGATCGCGCATCATTTTTTTTTTTGCAGGAAATCTTCAAAATCGTCATCAATCTTCTTCATATCTACTCAGCGTACGGGCAGCTAACCACAGCAAAACACAATTTTCCTGCACCGTAGATAGGGTCGCCCCCCTCAACACAACACCTTGATGAACTTTAAATTGGTGTTTGCCCGCATAGTTTTCCAACACAGCGTTCGTAGTTCGCATGCCGAATACACGGGTTCGAATCCAGGAAATTGCTCTTTATTTTTTTTAGGATAGAATATTGGTGAACTGCATAAATATAAGAATTATGGTTTATTTGAGCTACTGACCATTTCGTATTTACGTACATTAAATTTTGTTCCTAATAAAAACTTGTGCGGATTGCTTCATGTGGGCTTCATGACGGACCTTTTAAGAAACTTTCAAGTTCCTAAGAAGTTCCACAGCGAAATTTTAAGATACTTTAAAGTTGCTAAGAAGTTCAGCTGGGAACTTGTTCGAAACTTTGTTGTGGCCATGTTTTTAGCCTTGCCCGAAGTTCTTAAAAAGTGCTTAGGGATGGGTTTTAGAGTTTTTTTTTTGAACTTCAAGTTGCTAGGAGTACGCATTGGAACTTTTTGGAGCCTGAAGTTCCTCGTGCGCTTTCTATACGGGAAAAAATCCGATGAGAAAAATGGCTCATGATTTCATGAACAAAGCGTATATTCATGTTATGAAAATACACCATGAATAATATTCATGATCTCATGAGCAACTTTTGCGTAACGCAGCAAACATTCCCAAAATCATGAATCATCCGAGTTGAAATCATGATCTAAATTCATGGGTTTAACTTTCAACCAAAAAATGTAAAAAGAATAAAAGAAAGTATCAGACTGGATTAGAACCAAGAACCTTGAGATCATTAAACCCATTCTTTGACCACTAGACTACCAGTACTTGTATAAGATGGAAGACAAAAGGCGTTCAACAAATATCTATGTAGTGCGGTTTATGAACACGGTTTGCCAAGTACGTGTAACGCTTGTAGCGGTCTTGATTCCACTGCATTATGAAACCATGAATTTCCATGACGAAATCATGAATCATTGTTACGATTTCATGGGATGGTAAGTTTTTTTTTCATTTCATGATCTTTTATTCATGAAAATGGAATCGGATTTGTTTCCGTGTATAGCTTCTAAAGTAGCCAGAATGTTGTGTTAGAACTTTACATCCACTTATGGAACTTGAAAGTGGGTTTTATCGTTGAATGCGGAACTTTTGGTGGCTTGGGAAGAAAGTTCTGTCGGAACTTTATTGGAACTTTATGGAACTTTAAAGTTCTTCCGGAACTATATTTGAACTTTATGGAACTTGAAAGTTCTGTCGGTACTTTATTTGAACTTTATGGAACTTGAAAATTCTGTCAGAACTTTATTCGAACTTTATGGAACTTGAAGGTTGTCGGAACTTTATGGAACTTCGAAGTGAGTTTTATCCTTGAATGCGGAACTTTTGGTTACTTGGGGTATGCGACAGAAAAATTCTGAGGCAGCTGGATATAGTAAAGTTGTGTAAAAAAACCTATTTCGGAAGATCTTCCGACCAGAAGCTCAAAGAACTTCCGAATAGAATTTCCCAGAACTTCCTAAAAGTTCCGACGAAAAATTTAGAGAATTACCGACGAGAGGCTCAGAGAACTACCGAAAAGAAGTTCAGAGAACTTCCGACGAGCAGTTGAGAGTATTTCTGATAAGAAGTTCAGAGATCTTCCAACGAGAAAATCAGGGAATTTTCGACGAGAAGCTCAGAGAACTTCCGACGAGAGGTTCAGAGGACTTCCACCAAGAAGTTCACAGAACTTTCTTGAATTTTCAATGAAAAGTATTGAGAACTTCCGATAACAAATTCACAGAACTTTTGAAGAATTATTTTCAGAACTTTCCTGAAGTTTCACAGAATTTTCCTGAAGTCCACAGAACTTCATTAAAGTTCCCTGAAGATCCGACGAGAATTTCAGAGTATGTATTTTCGTTTAAAGTTTTTCCGACTATAAGTTCAGTGAATTTCCAAAGAGATGTTTAGTGAGCTTCGGACGAAAAGTTCACAGAACATCAGACGCAAAGTTCA